TCTGGCCCTAGCCTTCACCATTGCTATTGTCAAAGGAGCTGCAGTCGTCATAGAAAAAAATGAAGGGAGAAATGTGCCACGGATCCTTTCAAGAGAAATTGCTAACTACATTGGTATTCTATCTCTAACCATGACTTTCATGACAAGGCCCTGATTTAATTACAAAGATCATGGCATAAAGCACATGGGACCATGTTAGATTCAATTAATGAGGGTAAAGAAAACTGTAAATTGTTGGTGACTTATTGATAGTACCACATGGGGAAGCAATGCTTTATGTCTTCCTCCTTCAGCATGATGGCTTCCCTTTGCTACCAAGGCCCGCAGGTAATGAAAAAAAAAAAAATGATGCCAATTTGGTGTTGAAGTGATCACAAAGAAACCTTGGTGTAGATCCTGGTCTACTCTCTTCTCAAAGATTAGAATTAAAGCAATGGGACATTTATTTCACTGATGGCCAATTATCCTTGCCTGTGCACCTAGAAGGTCAGATAGGGTCTGTAGACACCCAGACATGCGCTTCTGCTCCTCCTTTGCATGCACACTCGTGCACAGACACATGTGGATTTCATGTGTGCATGAATGTGCATGTATGTATTACTCTCTGACTAGCCAGGGGAGGGTTTGCTCCTCTGTGTTTTTTTCCCCCCACTGGATAAAGGATTCTAATTCTGAAAACACACCAGCTCTGAAGAAATAAACTAAATCTTCAGATTCAGTTCAGAAAATGCCTTGTGTGTTCTGAAGCTCCAAAAAAGCAATGTGCTAAAGGACCCAGATTGCTGGTGTCTATGATCTCAGAGAACAGCGTGTGTGTAAATGTTCATTGCTCCCACTTGTGAGCCATGTCAGCATGGACAAATTACTTTTAACTACTCTGTGCCTTGGTTTCTCCACTTGCAAGCTGTAGGTAACAACATTTATGGGAAATTGTTAAGATGAATTACAAATGTGTGTATCTCTCATCTAATAATGTCCTTCATAATTTGTTGTTATTTTCCTGGGACTGGATCTCATTGGAGCCCAGGCTGGCCTTGAACTTGCATGTAGCTAAGAATGACCTTGAAGTGTTCATCGTCTGTCTACATCCCCAAGGACTGGCATGAGCCACTATACTCAACTCCACGTTTTGAATACTGTTGTTCTTAATTTCACATTCATCTGTTATCCACAGCACATACACACACACACACACACACATCACACACACACATACACATCACACACAACACACACATCACACTCACAGACACATACATACGCATCACACTCACACATACATCAAACACATACACATCACACACACAACACACACATCACAAACACAGCACACACACACACGAGGGAAAATGATTCACAATTGTTGGTTTGCACAAGTCTATTTGTAAGCCCACACCCTACACATTCACACACAGGAGGGCTCTAAATGCCCAGCTTTGGAAAGAGTAAACCAAGCATAACCCTGTACCATGTGCAAGTGTGTGCATCGAGAACCCTTATCTACAGATTTCTAAGACTAGAGGATAGAGCCTTAGGCACAAGAGAGAAGAGAATACAAACCCATACCACAGCTGGGGCAGGAAGCAAGCCAGGCAGTAACAGTCCCAGGGGATACAGCCTGGCTATGTTCCCTTCACACTGGTGAAGAAAGTCTTTCAAACTTTTTGTGATGGGACTATATTGATTTTATAACTAAATAAAAACAAGTCCAGTTTTGCCCTAGAATAGCTCCCCTGAGACATGGATTGCTATTGACAAAGCCAGTGCCCCGGACCCTTTGGCAACACTAAGGGATGATGACTGTCCCCACCTTCTTCTCACTCCTGGGTCAGCTTTTGGCAGCAAATGCATACGGTGGGAGACGAGGACACTATAGTCAAATACCAGTTGCTGCATTTTCGTTACTTCCCATTCTGGAAAACTTCCTATTTCTGGGAGAGAAGAGAAAGCAGCTGCCTTCTGTCACTGGCAAAGCCAAATGCACAGCTGGTGCTATGGTATGATCCCAAGTCCGGGCTGACTGAGCATTGCAGCTGTGGCATTGCAATCTTTTGGCATTGCAATTCAACCTTGTCATCACCAAAGCTCATGTTTGAGAGACAATCAATCAAATTATGAAAAAAAAAAGTAGCAAAAAAAAAAAACCCTCAATGTTTTAAGTAAGCTTTGGATTTTGCACTGGGCCATGTTCATAGCCATCTAGGGCCATATGTAGCCCACAAACTGCAAGGTAGACATGCCTGGAGGGCTGTAATGTGTTCTCTATGCTCACAGCTACCTTATAACAAAGGGACCATCCTATGAAGACAATGTTGCTATGAGAATGTTCAGGATCGGTCCCCAAACCCCAGATCAAGCAACTCCCCAGGGTCCCAGCTGGTGACCAGACTGGTCCTTACTGCAGAATCAGAACTAACGCTTCTCTTGTTACTTGCCAAGTCTTCACTGGGCATTGTCTGCAGTTGAGGCACAATTCTGGTGAACACTACCCATGTTCTCTGACTCTGTGAAACTGTGGTGATTTGAAGAAAAAAAAATGGCCCCCAAAGGGAGTGGCAATATTAGGAAGTATGGCCTTGTTGGAGCGGGTATGGCTTTGTTGGAGGAATTACGTCACTGTGAGGGTGGGCTTTGAGGTTTCCTATACCCAGGATACCAGCCAGTGTGACTATCAGTTGACTTTCTGCTGCCTTCTGGTCAAGATGTAGCCAACACTATGTCTGCCTGCACGCTGCCATGCTCTCCTCATGATGATAATAGACCAAACCTCTGAAACTGTAAGTGAGCCACCACAATCAAATGTTTTCTTTATAAGAGTTGCTGGGGTTGCGGTGTCTCTTCATAGCAATAGAAATCCTAACTAAGGCAAACTCACTTTCCCATACAGCAGGACAGAGAAGTGGAAACTAGGAAAACATACCCCAAAGTTTGACACTATGCCATGCTGAGCTGAAGAACAGCTTTGGACACTGGGTCCCTTTGACCTTCTTGCTTCTCCCTGAAGTACAGAGTGGGACACCTCACTGGTATCCTCCTTCTGAAATAGGTTCTCCTGCAGGAAATGCAGTGATGATAAACTCCTTGGGACTCTGTCCCATAAGCAGGAATGATGAACACTGGGAAAGGAGGCCAAAAGTCACCACCAAACCCAGACAGGCTTTTCATGGGCTTTTCACTGGACAGCCAACCCTGGGAGACTGTGTGGTGGCCTATCTGTATAGTTAGAGCTGTGTCTGAGTGAGGTCTCTCTTCGCCTGGACCACCTACTCCATGTCCCTTCGCCTGGACCACCTACTCCATGTCCTTCTTCCCTGTGAGGACCCAATGCTAGATTCTGACCCTGTGAATTTTCTTTTTCTTTCTTTGGTTTTTCCAGACAAAGTTTCTCTGTGTAGCTTTGGAGCCTGTCCTGGAACAAACTTACTCTGTAGACCAGCCTGGCCTCGAACTCACAGAGGTCTGCCTGCCTCTGCCTCCTGCCTGAGTGCTGGGATTAAAGGTGTGTACCACCACCGCCCTGCAACCCTGTGAATTTTCAAATCATGGATAGCTCCAATATGCATGTGCATGTTGATAAATACAATGTTTCCTCTTGATAGTCTGTCTTTTGTTATTAAGCTGCCTGTCATGACTTTTTGTGATGAGAAGGAAAGAGATCACTCCCTTTTCTACCCCCAGGATAGTGTGATATGTTTTTTGCAGGACTGTGCTTATGAAGAGTTGACTCTGCAGATGCCTGCCCAAGCTCACTCAGACCCTGGAAGATAATTGGAATTATCTCCAATTGATTGTTTTCTGTTTTCTTATTTTATTGTTGGTGTTCGTTGAGGAGGGAGAGATTCACTCCCAAGTAGTTCAAGTTCGCACCCAAGGGGTCTCACATCTTTTGGGGGAGCAATTGGGGTTAACAGGTGAGGAAGCCCCAGCCTCACCCCTGCCCAATGTGTAAGGAATAAAGGTCCTTCTGGACAAAAGTTCATCCTAAAGAGATATAAGGAATGAAAATCTCCATTGGTGACATCAGGTGACACACAACAGCCAGGGATGTTGTCTCCCTCCAGATACACTTGGTTGCTAGGGAGCAGGAGGTGGCAAAAACCCCTTTACCATCCTTGTTTCCTTTCTCTGCCTGCAGCTTTAATCTCTAATTTCTTGTAAATCCCCCCCCCCCCGCAACATTTTAAGTTTTTTTTAGGCCCAGTAAGCCTTTCTGCCAACGCAATAATCCAAATTAAACCAAATAATACCAAATAGAAGAAGCCCAGGTTTAATGGATGCCAGCACTCCCGGGTGGCCCCTGGGAAAACACAGGGAGAAAGGACAGGAATGACCTCTCTGGGAGGCAGTTTAAATAGTCTGTGGGAGGGGTCACCATTTGGCAGGCTTTCTAGGAAGTGGAGTTTGGACTGAGCAACTACCAGGGGAGGGAGCTTGAAATGCAGCTTTCCACTCAAACATTCCAAAATGAATGCCAGGAGCTGGAGTGGAGGCCCCAACCAAACATTCCAGACTCTTTGGATAAAGGGGTGCCAGGGAGCTGAGGTGACGCTTCCAACCAAACACAACCTAAACCCAGAGTCTTTCTCCTCCCCTCCCCCCACTTCCTCTCTCCGTGGAGTGGATCTTCACTTTTAATCCAAGGTGGCCAGGTAGGTTCCTTAAGTGCCCCCCCCCCCCCCAACCAGTCCTTTCACAACCTCACTGCGCATGCTCAATCTCACTGCGCATGCCCACCCTCGCTCTCAAACCTGGGATATTTGTCACCAATTGGGTGTTTTCTGTTTCATTGTTGGTGTTGGGGAAGGGGAGAGATTCACTCTCAGATTGTTCAAGTTCGCACTTAAGTGTCGCCTAGGAAGACTGGAGCCTTGTGTGTGTGGATGAAAACAAGCAGAGCCCTGCCCATGCCCACATCAGACTTTAGCCTTATTTCCTCCCCAGAGAGCTCTAGATTAAACTTCCTCCTTCCTGGTAAGACTGTTTAATGAGGCAGGGAGGGTTTATGGGCAAATCTCTTCCCAGCAGAGCAGAATATGGGCAGGGTTAGGAGCAGCTGCCTTCCCGAGGAGCCCGTGGCCTGCGTGTCATTTCCTTAAACAGCTGCGTTCAGAGGAGGGCAACCACCTAGGGAAGGCCACAACCCCTCCAGGAACCAGGACGCTGCTCCGTCGGTAGCCAGGCTCGGGGGGCAGTTGGTCCAGCCAGGACTCAAGGCATCATCGGCTGATTCTACACCCCTTCTCCACCAAGGTAGGGAAGCGTGAGCCCGGACCCTCAGGTACGTCTCTGCCAGGCTGGTGAGGGTTTTACCTCTTGGTCCACGTTTTTTAAAGAAGGATAGAAGCAGGGTGGATGGGAAATGAAGACTAAGCATGCCTGGGAGAGGAAGCAAGAGGAAAAGGAAAAGGAAGCAACTACTTCTAAGACGCTTCCTCTGCGGAGATCTAGCCCAACTGACAGTCAAGGGGAAGGCCGGGTTAGCACTCGGTGCAGTTCTTGCTGTGATTGATTCGTTAAGACTGCTGTGGGTACAAAGATAAGATCTGGGGTCCAAAAGGCCTACGTTTTGAAAATCCACACTGTAGATATTATTCCCTGACCACAGGGAATCTCCACATGTATTAATTTACCCTTGTATACGGGTTTTTAAAAGAAAAAAAAACGTTCTAGATGAACATCAAGTTCCACGAGTGTTTGAATACTGGATTAAGAGGGGCAGATGGATTTCCTTTATCTCTGAAACGATTGACCTGAAATGTTAGGTCAGCCACAGGTGTGTGGCCATGAGAGATTTTCTAGCAGTGCCAGGCTGAGCCCTCGAGCTGAGATCTGTTTTCCTCATCTGTAAAATGGGAGTGAAGGGCTGAATATCCCAGTTACGTCCCTTCTTTTCTTGCCTGTTAAGCCTCTGTGGGAGGAATCAGGGCAGCACAGAAAATGGCACCGGCTGGGTGCTAAATGTTCTCCATGTGGCGTCCTATGTGAGGCTGTTTCTCATCATTACTGCCGCTCCGAAAATGGGAGAGTCTTCATTCACCCAGGCAGAGTGGCTGCAAAGTTTATACCCTGGCACTATGCTATGGTGCCCTGTGATAGAGCTGGCTCGGGAGTGTCCTGGCAGGGGATTCATTCACGGTATATTAGTTGGGCACTTCCTGCAGGACAGGCAAAGACACCATTGTTCTACCCAGAAAGAAAAAAAAAATGCGAGGATCACCATTATCAAATTTTGTCACCTGCTGTAGAGATGGCCTGGGAATTAGGGATGGATTTCTCTCAGTAGGTTACATGTGCTAAGGCAGTGTGAACTTAGAAAGGGGGGAGACAAGGGATAGGGGAAGGGGAAAGGGGGAACAAGGGGCAGTGCAGACCAGAGCAGGGAAGAGCTGGTGGTCAGAGGTGAGATCAGGTCGTGTTACACCCAGGTTAAGCATAGCTGTAGGGGAGAGCTTGGCTTCTCCCAGTTGATCCCCCTGTGTGTCACCTGATGTCCACCTGGAGGCTTGGAGCCTTCTGTGCTGTGCTCAGATACACAGCTCTTTCTGAGTTAATTGCCCTGTCTGCAAGTTGACCCCAGGTGCTTGCTCTGTTCAGGTAGGAATCTGGGGATCTGCCGAGCTAACACGCTGAACCTCCTCGCTGGCACTTAGGCATTTTTTTATGGTGGAAGATATTCAAAGTTCTGTCTTGACATTTTCTTAGTCTGAAGCAGCTGCTCCTCCTGGGATGACACCAGTCTGTCTAACGGGGGAGCTGGTGTGGCTTCTGATAGCCCATGGACAGCCTGTAGGAGAGGGTGCTGAAACCTCCGCTGACTGGTACCAATCCTTTTGGAGGCTCTAGAAGATGGGTGGGAACTCTGGTTTCCTCCCCACCCAGGGAGCAGCCAAGAGATCCAGAGGCTTGGAGAGAGACCCTGTAGCTTCAGAATCTGGATCCCAGCTCTGCCTCCTTTTTCTTCCTTGGGTCAATTGTTTCATCTTCTGTGCTTGCCTCAGCCTCTGTCTCCAAAGATCGGGGCACCTGTTTTATAGTAGATAAACTTAAGCCATTTTACTTACTGCAATTTATATTTAGGTTTATTTCTCTTAAAAATAAAGAATGGGGACATTAACGTATTCCTTGAGGCTGGACTGGTGTGAATCTGCAAAAGTCAATAGTGAATCACCCACCACGGTGCTGGCCTGGAGCCGGTGACCACACAAGCTGGTACTCCTTTCAGCGTTCAATGCCTACTGTGCCTTAGGCACTGTACAAGGTACCAGGCTTTTAAAATGACAGAATGCTATCTCAGAAAGTTCACACTCTATCAGAATGGTCACATTGAAGACTAGGAGTTAAACAGGTGGTGACACCACAAGAGATGCGTTGTGTTGGTCAGCTTCCTGTCACGCTGACAAAATACCAGAGAAAATCAACTGAAAAGAAGATTTATTTGGCTCCCGCTTTCATGGTGCTGTCGTTTGACTCTGTTGTGATGGTCAGGGCCTGTGGTGTGGCAGGGCATCGTGGGGAGGAGGACTCGGTGAAACCAAGCTGCTCATGTTTTGATGTCTAGAAAGCAAATAAGAGCGTGAGGTAGAGGTTGGAGACAAACCTCTTAAAGGCCGTACAGGCAGGAACTGCTTCTTTAAACTAGGTAAAGTGTCCACCATGTCCTACTAGCCCATTAAGTTGTGAACTTGATAGGTCAATCCAGTCCTAAGGTTAGAACCCTCACAGTCCAATCGCCCCCATAGTGATGGATCTGAAACTCTAAATACCGCTGCAATGGGGACCAAGCTTTCAACACATGAGCTTTTGGGGAATATCTCACAGGCAAACCAGAACAGACAGGTAAAAAAATCTGCATGATCAATCATAACATGACAGGTGGTACATGTGGGGATTGATTCTGCATCTAGCATGGCACTGAGCACTTGACTACAACCTTGCATGGTGGCTCTTAGCCCCATTTTACAGATGAGCTACTGAAGCCTCAAGAGAAAATGCAAGCGCCAAAGCTGGGAATGGTAGTGACAGACTTTTTTGACCAGGAAGACCTCCCAAACCATTGGGTCCCAAGCAAACAGCACTGAAGGCAGCTATGGACAATTCTGGAAAAGAGTGGAAGGGTGGTGGCAGGAGCTAGAGTCCGAACGGTCTGTTTACAGGAACCATGCCAAGGACTTAGATCCTCCCATAGGTATTCCTCCAGCGAAGGTAGCGGCAGAAAGATGGCTTCACTGGAGCTGACATCAGGAAGGAAACTGTTGCTGAAGCACAGGGAGTCGACGTGATTCTTTTAGTCCTGTGATCAGACTTTGAGAGGGAAGAGACAGAGAAACTTTCTCACCTATGTACGTGCGAAAACCCTTGCATTTTAGGCAGGAATCTTGGGTGCCAACAGGGAAAAATAAAAGACATGCACCGGCATGTAAACAGAGAAGCCTGAGGGTGACTGAAATACGGCGAGGGTCCTGTCTCTGTGTTGCTTTATTCCCCGGCGAGCTGTCCACACAGGAGAGCTGTCCCTACAGGGGAGCAGAGATGTATTCAGAACCTCTACTTCCGAGTCATATGGACTCCAGATGCTAACAGGAAAGCAGCTTTTCTTTGCTGGAACATCTCTGCTTGGGTCACCTGCCATGTCTGTGATCAAAGGGTGCCACACACTCTCTTCATCAAGGCCCTATGGCCATCCTGGAGTCCTAGATGAAGGTCAGCTCTATCCAGATGAACGGAAGGCACATCTTTCTCCCGATGATAATTAGAGTGCTCACCAGTCAAAGAGAGAATGGATTCTGGGTGTTAGGTCCCCATGGCAACAGATGCCCACCACATCCTCACTTGCACTGTCCCTTCCTCACTTAATGAGTTACAGCAGTAACAGATAGCAAGGCTGACTAAGCCATCCTACTTAACTGACACTGGGCAAGTTGCCTAACCTTCCGAGGTCACAATTTCCTCCCTGGTAAAAATGTAGTTCATAGAAAAGAATCCTGGCAAGATTGCTGGAAAGTTAAGGATTGACTTGGGATTCAAAGTTGGTAGAACAATGGGGCTTATTAGAATCAGTTTTGTGATTACTTTTTCTTTGGCCAGATATCTGGGTCTTATACCTTTCTAGATGAAACATATTCAAGCACATTCCCAAGAGGCAACCGTCTTGAATTGCTAAAATTTTTAAGCTGCCTCTGAGAGAAACCAAATTACCTACGTGTGAGTGTATTTCCTCATGCTCCACCTGATTTGAAGTGGTCCAAGTCATCAGCAGGTCTGCTGTGACCAGAGAATGAACCCTGATGGCCCAGGTAGCCCTACCATAGTTCAGTTGGTATTCTGATGGCCCCAGCCAGACTTTCAGCAAAGAGAATCCTGGTGACTCAAACTGCTTACCTGAACATATCCAGCCCTTGAAGTTGCCCCCACTCAGCCAAGCGAGAGAAGAAGAAGGGCTGTATGGGAAGATGTCTTCCACTTTTCTCCAGCTGCTTTGTGGGTATCTGGGCAACTCCATTGCCCATTCATCATCCAAAAACTAGCTTGTTCCTGGCTTCCAGGATACTGGTATAGTTGAGGGTACATGCAGCATTCCCAGAGATGAAGTCAGGAGTATTGCTTCATTACCTTACACTTGTTCCTTAAGAAGCACATCTTTTGCAGGACTATTGTGTCTGGTGCAAACCTGTACCTAATTCCCATTAAGTCAGCCATGATGAGGGGCATGTATGACAAGAAAATGCGTTGAGAGAGGGCTATGCCTGCAATACCACGGTGAAGACCACAGCAGGCTCCACCACGTCCCATTATTAACCACCCTGCACTGCAGGCTTCCAGCTCCTGGACCACCTGAAGTTTTACAGGAGTGAAGGAACTAAAGCAGTCATCTTCCTGAGGGCCTCCCTGGGCAGCCGGGGCCATGGGAGAGGCATACTGAGCAAAGCGTATCAGACCATGACCTCTCAGATATACCAAGAGAAATGGCCTCCTTAAAACCCATGTAAAGACAGAAGACAAGCAACTAGTCATCAAAGTGAACAGGTTCTCATGGATCTCCCTCCTGGACTGGCCTGCCAGTCAGGAGGATGAAGGTGGAGACAGAACCTTCGTAACGTTCTCTTATCCCAAGCCCATCTCCCTTCTCTATCACCTAAACTGAGCTTCAGGCCAGGGAGTTGCCAGGCCCATTGCACCTTTAGCTAACAGAACTGCACATAGATAACTAGGCCCCGCAGGCAGCCAAGCCCCTCCTTCTTAGAGCTTTGTTGGCACACATCCACTCATACACATGTCTATCATTCCCAACCTGCTCCAGTTCAAAGTTGAACTGTCATCTCTGGGAACAATCAGGGGGCGGGGGGGGGGTGGTAGGGAAACGGCCTGCAGTGCCCAGAATATTTCCAACCTGATCCAACTTACAGTAGTTGACCAAACATGGGACAGGCCTCCTAGGGGGCATGGCGGCACATGCCTGTAATCCCAGCCCTCCAGATGTTGAGGCAGGGAGATTGTAAGACCAGCCTAGGCTGTATATAGAACTTGAGGCCAATCTGAGACACTCCCTTAAATTAAGAGAGGGAAAAGTGGGCTCCTGATACAGACTGTCTCATCTGTAATCTTTTGTTCCTCTGACTCTTAGCTATATGATCTGATCACTCAGTGACTCAGTTTTCCCCCAGATTCTTCACTGATCACTATAGGATTAAATTTGTTAAAAAATAATTCAAGGTTACACAGTGCCTAGGGCAGAGTAATCATCATCTTATCCTGGGAAACCCCGCAGGAACTGTGAGAGTAAAATCTCATCAATAAATAGGGGCTGGAGAGGTGGCTCAGTACACGGCTGGCAACCTACAACCTCCTGTAACTCGGGCCTCAGGGGATCAGACACCCTCGTCTGGCCTCCTCGGGTACTCACACACAGAGAGAGATACAGAACACCTTCGTTAGGGTTCCTATTGCTGTGATAAAATACCACAGTCAAAGGCAACTTGGGAAGGGTTTATTTCATCTCACAGCTCAAATCACACTCCATCACTGAGGGAAGCCAGGGCAAAACCTCAAGCAGGGCAGGAATCTAAAGCAGAGGCGTGCAGCACACTGGCTTCTTTGCACACGACTTTCTCAGCCTGCTTTGTTATACACCCCAGGACTACCTGCCCAAGGGTGAAATCTCCCCCATCAGTCACTAATTAAGAAAAAGACCCACAGGCTTACCTATAAGCCAATCTTATATAAGGCCGTGCCGCCTCAACGTGGTTCCCTCTCCTTAGACATGTCTAGGTTTGTGTCAAGTTGATCAAAACCAAGCAGTACCTGCACTTTTTAAAAAAATTTTCTCTAAAAGATAATAGTGAGGAAAGGATATTATGGAAATAATCATCTATTTCTTTCTTCAATAAATGTCACTGGAACAAATTATTCCCACCAGCAGTCTTATTATTTATGGATTTATTCACTACACAGCTCCGTCCATATTGGTGACATCATCAATAATTGCTGTAAATATCAGGGTGTTGGGAGAGCTATCCAGGAATAAATGGTGGCCTCACACAGATTAGTGATTCAGGGTGGATAGGGATGGTGAGAGAGTGAGGGACAGGAACAAGTGGGCCTGGGCAGGGCTTCCCACAGCAATGTCAGCATGTGTCCCATGGTCCCTTAAGGGTCTTAGTTTTCACTCTCAATCAGGTCCCTACTTTGGTCTCATCTTCTTCCCCCTGAGCTGTGTCACCCAGACCCTATCATTGCCCTGGCAGGACTTCCCTAGCAATGTTTGTCCCTAGCAATGAGTCCCAGGGATGGGGGGAAAGGTAGAAACTTCTGGGAGGACAGTGATCTGCAGCCTTCTGTGACTCGCTCAGTCTGTGAAATGTCTTGAGAATGATGTGGAAATAAAGAGGGCTTAGATTTGCAGATGTTGAGTGGGTTCTAAAGTCCAGGGATGTCCTCTGGGTGGTCTAGCTTGAGGGGGAAATGATGCAAGTTAAAAAAGGAAGAAGCTGTTTTGGTGCAGGGAGAAGGCCAGTTTGCAGGAAGCCTTCCCTTCACTCTCAGCACACCTTACATATGCCCGGTGCCAAAACGGGGACATGAAGAAAGGCTGTCTAGAGGAGCTACAGGCAGCAGGGGAGCTGGACCAAAGCTCAGGGCCAACCTGAACTACCCAGGAACAGTTCAAGTACTTAGATGGAAGGGTCCTTGTGGTGGCCGGAGAGGTCAAAGAGTCAGAATTTTTTAATATTTGTTATGTATACAATATTCTGTCTGTGTGTATACCCGCAGGCCAGAAGAGGGCACCAGACCCCGTTACAGATGGCTATGAACCACCATATGGTTGCTGGGAATTGAACTCAGGACCTTTGGAAGAGTAGGCAATGCTCTTAACCTCTGAGCCATCTCTCCAGCCCCAAAGAGTCAGAATTTAACAGGTGAAGTTCTCACTTCTCTAGTGATGCTGATGAGATGCTCTGACCACTCCTTGGTCGTCCATCCTCAGCCTAGAGAGAGTCTCTCCTTCCTCTGTCCACCTTGACTCTAGGCGGGCTGTGGATGAAAGTCACTGGAAACAGGAAGAAACTGGCATCCTGGATCCTGCAGGGCCTTTAAGCAATGTGGCTATGGAGATTGGGGGTTTAGGGTAGAGTTCAGTGTTAAAGCATATGTTTGGCATGCTCAGTGTCCTAGGTTTAATGCCTAACACTGTAAAAAAAAAAAAAAAAGGAGGAGGAGGAGGAGAAGGAAAGAAAGAAAAGGAAGGAAGAGAGGAAAGAAAGAAAAGAAAAGAAAGAAAGACAAATAAAAAATGAAATAAAAGGCAAGGAAATGTCACAGGCAGCAGGCAGAAAAGCTCTGGTTACACCTTGATTCCACAGAAAGAATAAACATCCCTATGGGAATGGTGCCAAGGAGGAATATAAACAGAGCTGAAACAGTGAGCCCTGTAAGCAAGATGGCATGATGCTGTCAGGCCAGCACAACCCTTCTAGACAGGGTGACTGCTGCCTGACCACTTCCACGACGGGTAGAGAGCATCGCCTCCTTGTCAAAGCTCCGAGAGCTGTACCCAACATGAGCCCCAGTGCACAAGCAGCAAGGCCATGTCTGCCAGACCCCCAGGTACAGCCTCTTTCTCGGCATCACCAGGTTTTTGCTGTTTAACTCTTTTATGATTAGGCCTTCACACTGGCCTCGCCAGCCCAGACTGACAGAAGCATCTCTTAGCGCCTCTCCCCTGGCCTCCATACACCCCTCAGTAAAGGATCAGATGGGTCTTGTCTGAGTCCCTTGCTAACTGCAAAAGCAATCACAAAGGACGTGACGCGGCCCTGTGTGACAGGGGAACGTGACGAATGTGCCTCTGTCCAGGACTTCCTGTATGTGTTTAACCTTAGCTTCCAGGGTCACAGAAGATTCCCCAGAGGAAGTAGTTTTTGCCATGAGGCCTGCAAACTGAGTCAGACTGTTCCAGGCATAGCCTCTTAGTAACAGTGTTCAGACAAAAGACGAGCAAGGGGAAAATTCAGGGGTGCTTTCAAGAATGACTTGTCACAGCCAATCCCCTGTGCCCAGTGCCCAACCTGGCTTCCCCCTAATGCTCAGAAAATGCTTCAGGAACAAAACCCACAATCTGCTGTGTGGCCTTAGAAATCCCTTGATCTCTATGAACTTCCATTGCCTTCTCCATGTGGTAGCTTTATCCCCCCCCCCCCTCCCCTTCCAGGACTGTGCAGGATTCAATGCAGTCCCATCTCTGAATATATATTGAGCACTCCTCCATGGTCTTGTAGCTCTGGGCCTGCAAGACACAAGGCTTGCTGGGGAGAACAAAATGTTTGCGGCTCCTAAATTGATCTGGAGTTGGAAAACTACAGGAGTGTAGGGAAGGGCAGGACAGAGGGAGAGGCCAAGGACAGGGAGGTGCTGATGTCTCTCTGGTCAGGGAGGGAAGGGACAGCTCACAGCAACTCAGGCCCTCCTCACAACCCTTCCTTTATGCTTTTCCACATACCCGTCCTACCTGCTCGGTGAGATTGAGCCTGCAGATGTATCTGTGCCCTAGGCCAGGAGGCCTGGCTACATCTAGAACAAGATCACGTTTTCCCTGCAGCTCTGCCACCTGAATGGCCAGTTGTGACTAGGAGAAAATGCTGCCCCGCCGTGTTTTACCTGTTCCTGGTGTCGTTTTTTTCCCCTCCCAGTAGCACCCCACCCCCACCCCCTGCCACAAGCAGACCAGTCCTACACTCTGGCTCCACGATGAGCACATTGGGGGACTCTGGAGGTCAGGGAGCTCCTCCGGACTCAAGCAGGAGGTACTTCAGGCTGGAGAGCCCATGGCCAAGGCAGGACTGCCCTGCCTCTCCCAACCCCCACCTTGAAGCCAGGTCCCACCAAGCTTTGGTACCCAGTCTTCCTCTCTAAACACTGCAGGGTTCTTCTGTATCTCTGAGCATGCACCAAGACTCCTTCCTCTTCCCTCTGCCTACCTCACATCCTCATCGCCTTCCATCCCTGCTTCTGTCAATTCATTTTTTTTTTTTTAGTTTTTCCTTCCTCAGCCCCCTCCACCCCTGCCCATGACTGGGTCAGCTCTCTTTCTTTGCACACCTTCTCCTATCCATGCCTGTCCTATTCCAGGCCTGCCGTTCTACCCAGCCTGCCCAACACTTTGATGGTGCAGGGCTTAGAATGTCCTTCATTTCTCAGGTGGAGGTCCCAGGGCTACAAGTCACATTCCTAAGGACCAAGTGCCATTATGAGATAGAGATAGATAGATAGATAGATAGATAGATAGATAGATAGATAGATATAGAGATAGAGAGAGAGATAGACAGACAGATAGATAGATATAGATAGAGATAGATAGATAGATAGATAGATAGATAGATAGATAATATCTGAAAATAAAGTTGACATTTGAATCTCAGAGAAGTTAATGGGTTTCCAGAATTTTTTTGAAGGGAAAAGGAGGAGACACAGCAGGGTAACAGCTCAGACTCTCCTCAGAAGGCCTTGGGGAGAGGCCAGAGCAGTAGATCTTCCTAGTGGAGGTTTCTGTAGCTGTTACCATTGTTTAAATGTGAGTACTTACCATACAGACAATCAACAGGCAGGTCAGAGATGCTTGACCTGATGTAGAAGGGTGTTAGAGCCCTGTGGGGCATAGCCCCATCTCCAGTCTTACCAAAGAGTGCCCAGGGCAGTTAGTCCCTGGAGACAGTTGAGATAATGTCTGTTAAGATAGATTCTTGGGAGAAAGAAAATTCTAGGGCGAAGGGGAGGAGGGGAATGAAATCACAACAGAACGAAAAGACCACTTGGCCCAGACTCCAGCTCACCCCCCCCCCCCCAGCCCTCCCCTCTCCTAACTACCACTGGCCTCCAGGAGCTTCCAAAGCTGCCACATTAACTGGCAACTGCCCAGTGTGTGAGAGGAACATAGAAGGTGTGACCCAGACTCTGCCCAGGACTCAAAAAAGAAGAAAATTCTGGTTTAAGCTTTCTTCTGAAATAAAAAGTACTAGAAGTGGGACCCTGAGGGGAGCACAGGGGACCCTGTAGCTGCAGACTCCCGTCTACATCCCTCCTCTCACTTCCCCAGCTGAGTGACCTTGGACTTAACTATGCGAGCTGTCCTTACTTATCCCTAAAAAGATTCTTTTTCACACAGCACCTGGCTTGCCTGCGGGCTACCAGGCCTGGCTCCTCAGACCTCCAGACATTGACCAAAGTCACTTGTAGGCCTCCGTTCCCTGATGCTTTTCCTGGCTTGACATCCCTGGGTGGGTGGGGAAGAGATGGAGAAAGGGAGGAAGGCAGGAATGGGGCCGAATGAATGAAGGGAATCAAGTCTCCCAAGATGCACCTTCCTCTACTATTTAATCTTTGCATACACTGGGAGTCTGAGTGTCAGAGACATGAGGTAGAAAAAAGAGTAAAGCTGCTCCCCTACTCACAGGACAGGCAAGAGGACCCCGAGCCAATGGGTTCTAGATGCCACACTCAGTTTCGGCACTCTTCCTGATTCTCAGACCCCAGACGCCAGTGTGTAATTGAACTTTCTTCTCTCCACAGGTAACGCTGACCCCGCTGACTCCGAGCCGTTCTCCTCGGCAGTATGAGAGTGACAGGTAGGACAGCGTTCTGCAGCTTCTTGGGGCGGGAGCTCTAAAATCCACTTTTCTATCATCAGTGTCCGCCCAGCCCAGCCTCGGGGGTGATTCAGTGTCTCTTGTCAAAGGTCCCAGCAAGAACTCCAGGAGGACAGTATACAGGAGAACCTGGGAGGATGGGAGGCACAATTCCATCCCTATGGGTGTGTCCAACCTTTGAACACTGTGACATAACGTTGTCATCTACAAAGTCCACACTTTAACTATGTAAACACTAAGTTACATAAATAGATCGATGATTGATAGATAGATAGATAGATAGATAGATAGATAGATAGATAGATAGATGATTGATAGGTAGATAGATAATAGAGATAGATAGATAGATAGATAGATAGATAGATAGATAGATAGATACATACATACATACATACATACACAGATGGATAGATGCTATGTGTGTGCACAGGTGTGCATAGAAGTCAGAAGTCGATGTCAGATATTTTCTTCTCACGTCTACTATGTTTCTCATTGAACTTGAGTTCCCCAGATGCAGAGCCCCTGGAATCTGCCTATCTCTACCTACCTACTCCAGTAGTTGCTAGGTACACAGATCCACACCTCAGCACCGGCTCTGACATGTATGCTGGGGATCTGAACTTAGGTTCCCATGCTGGTACTTTACCCACTGAGCCATCTCTTCATTCAATTAAAATAAATAAATACATTAAATTAATGTTTATAGCTCTGTGTTGAGTCATAGTCATAGCTCTCGTCAGCTGCCTGTGTCCCATGGGTCATAGTTTGGACACACCTACAGGCTGGGGAAGCTGGACAGCTGCTTCCCAGAGGCCCCATCTGCTTGGAATCCCAACACTTAGAAACACCTGGCTCTGGCCAGAAGTCAGGGACCACATATGAACCTCAAGGAGGGATGTTTCAGGGTCCTCACACCGCAGGCAGCACAGTAAGGCAGAGGTCTTCAGGCACATCCTCAGATGGGCCCCTTTGTACAGGCGTTGATATGGGAGCATGTGCAATACACACACCTCACTTCTACTCCCAGGTAACTCTGAGAAAGCATGGCCCCTGATTTAGAGTCAGCTGACTTGCATAAGTTCTAAAAAGCGGTCGTGGGAAAGCACCTACCTCTTCTGGCCTGTGAAGCAGTAATGGGGAAATGAATTGAGATCATCTATGTTCAGGTGGACATTATAGAGCCTGACACAGAGTGGGTGCTCACTAACATGGGCTGGTCCCTGTGGGGAATTCTGCTTTGCAAGCCGCCGTCTGCACCAAGACAAGGGGTACCCCCAAACTAAATGAAATTGTGTGGTTACATTTTGTGATCCTTTGCAAGGCAAGGGAGTAGATGGGCTCTTGGTACCTCTCCCGGGTGTGAGACTGCTCCCCAGTAACAGGAACCAGAATCGCTCTGGCTGTGAGGTAGGGGAGACTGGAAAGCTGTGCCTGTTCTGAAACTGCAGAACAAGTCCACTGTGCGGTTATTTTTGGTGGCTTTGAATTGACCAAAAATATGGAGGATATCCCCAGCTCCCCAAACCACCAGAATACTACCTACTACTATGACTATAATACCAACAAAAAAAGGCCATCCATCTGTGAAGCATGATTAATAGAGACTCAGAGACAGATACTGGGGTTCATCCTGAAGATCAGAAAGGCAAAACAGTCAGCCACCTGCTCTTACCTCTACCTCAGTCCGAAATGGCGATCCTGTCTCCAGGAATCTCAGAATGAGACTGTGTGTGAGAGCTGTCTCCTCCCGTTTTATAATCCTCTCTGGGATTAAGGGTGTGCACCACTACCAACTGGTTTCTGTGGCAAGCTAGTGTGGCTTCCGGGATTAAAGGTGTGTGTCACCACTGCCTGGTCTGTAAGACTGGCCAGTGTGGCTGTTTTACTTTTCTGATCCTCAGGCTAGCTTTATTTATTAAACTACAAATGAAATGCCACCACATATCTGCCCATCCATCCATTTGCCCACTCATCCAGTCTTCTAATCTGTCATTCCCTAACCATCTATCCACCCACCTGCAATTCCCTCCATTCACCTGTTTCCCTTCCACTTATCAAGTTCTTATTAGTACACGCTCCATATACAGAATAAAGCCCTTGCCTACAACAAAGTCGCATTCCAGGAAATAGACTCAAGGAACAGCCAAGTCGTACGATGAGGGTACTTGGAAAGAAAAAGGATGATTGAGAGTTTAAATGAGAGATTAACTGGGACCGCGGAGGCCAGGGACCTCAGCAGTCACGGCAGAGCCATATCTACCGTTTGGGACTGACTGACTTTAGCTCAAAGAGGGTGAACTCCTGCACACATACAGACCCCAGGACACATCTCTGTAGGCTCTCTCTAGGAAGCTAACTGGAGCCCAAGGAAAAGCTCTTTCAACTCATTCATAATGGATACTTGAGAAGTGTTCACAAAATCTAGTCATGATCTCACTGTCTGATCCCAGCAGGGACTCTTATGTGGTCTTGGCACAGAGTCTCAAGGTGTGGACGTGGCCTACAACAGAGGGTTTCCCGCAGTGGTGGTGTTGCTGGAATTTGGCAAGAACTCACACACAGACTTTCTACATGGCTTTGTCCTGCAGCCCCCTGTTGGGGTGTGGCACGTGACCTGACAGACTCTTCCTACTTACAGGTCTGGTTCGCGTTGTGGCCTTCGTCTTCACCATGGTTGCCATGTGGGTCTTTCTCCGCAGCTATGTCAGCATCAACAGGAAAACCATCCGTCTGCCACGCTGGCTGGGTAAGTAAAGCTCATGGCCCATGATGCAGACCAGGGATGGGGCAATGAGGAACTCTCTTCTGGGGTGACCCAGGAGCTAGCTAGATGTGGTGAGCTGTGCACTGGCATTGTGAAGCACAGTGTAAGAATCCTGGACTGAAAGGAAGACTGAAGCCATGGGGAACACAGAAGTGTTCCAAGGCCCTGGTCTAAGGAAGGAGAGAAATAATACTTATAAAGAGAGTTGTGAGTGAGGATGAAATGATACTGGGCTGTGAGTGAAGAAAAAAAAATACTGTCTGAGTTGCGAGTGGCTGCTCCTACCTGCGGTTCCCTCTGCTGCAAACCCTCTCTGTACAGGACCTGTATACCTGCTCCTTCTCACCCTCAGCTCCCTGCTCAAAGGCCTTTCTGACCTCCCCAGCTCCAGCTGTAGCCTGTCCTCCTCATTTAGCTTCTTCCATATCATCCTATTTCTTTCCAAACACCATCATCATGTTATCTGTTTCCCTAGTTATTGCCTGACTGCGCCTCTTAGAATATAACTTTCCTGAAGGCAAGGATTTTGTGTCCAATAAGTATTTGATATATGAAAGAAGAATGGATGGATGGATGGATATGGATGGATGGATGGATGGATGGATGGGTAGATTTGTAGGTGGGTGAATTAATGGATAGATAAATTAATGAATGGGTAAATGGAAGGCTGCATTATGGAGGCTAGATGGACAGATGAATGGGCAGATAGAATGATAGGGGTGGATTTGTAGGTAAATTGATAGGTCTGTGAACAAACAAATGAACAGGATGACAGGTAGGTAGGTGGGTGGATCAGCAAGTAAGTAAATGGATAGAAGAATTGATGATTAGATAGAAAGCCAGCAGATGGATAAATTAGTGGGTAGGACAGTAAGGATCAGTAAATGGGTAGGTAAATGGACGATTGGATAAACAAGTAGATGGCCAAGTTCTTACTGTTTTACCTATTCAGTCTCATTGGAGATAAATAAATACCCCCCAGGGAGTGGTTCTTGGTGTGGTTGTGTAACAGACTCAAGCATGATTGGCGGCACGGTTTCGTGTGTGTTCTGAGAAAATAGAAAGCCAAGGAGACTTTTAAAACTAACCGAAGTTCTCCCTTAGAGATGTCAGGACAGGGATGGAGCATGGGTGTATATATTCAAATCCTTTCAAGACAGAAGGGAAGGGGTGTGAGTCCTTAGATTTATCTTCCTGAGAGACTGAGAACCACTACCATTGACAGAGTTCAACATGATCTGCAAGGACCAAAATGGCCTCCAACTTCCCACAACAGTGAAAAACCAGGTACCCCATCTTTATCAGAACTCCACAGTGGAGAGCTTGATAGCCCTTATGCCATCTGCCTCTTGTCAGCGGAGACACAGAGCCTGCATTGGAATTTCATTTATATAGACACTCAGTGACTGCCATGTCCCTGATCCAGGGACACTGCTATTGACCAAACCTGGGTTCTGCTGCCTGCTGACCTCAAGGAGATGTGAACCAGGCCATTTGCAGGAGGGCCAAGGTATCTTGTCACACCTTGTCAGAGCCACAGTTGGAACGCAGCAGGCAACTCTTGTAGAAACTTTCATCCAATAACTATTTGTTGTGAGCCCCCTTTTTGGGGTAACTTCTGCCACGATCCTAGCCATGGCCGGTTCGTATATTCCAGGGTAGGGGCATGAGGATTAGGAAAGTTAGGTAGAAGGAACAGAGATAAGAAACACAGAGACTTAGGATAGTATCGGGAGGACCACTCAATGCTTTCTGCATTCTGAGCTCACCTGTGTTTAATTTTCCATACACTTTTATACCCCAATACAACAGGGGGAAGAAGGTAAAAGACTGCTTTAATGTGATGCAAAGGACAGCCAGAACAGTTACTAGTCCCAATACTTGAGACATCACGTCACTAATTCTTGAGAAAAGTATTTGATGCTTGGGGCAGTGAAAACACCCTAGACCAAGTGTCCCTAGGTCAAACCTCCTATTTCAAAAGAAGGAGCAGAAGTCTGCTTGGATTCTTTGACCTTTGCTCAGGGTAGAGTGGATCTACCTCTATGAGCCATTCCAATGTCCAAAACACCAAGCCATCACGCCCTAGGTCAGGTGTGAGGCCACACTGTCAACAGTTTTGAGCGAGCAAAATCAACTCAGACTCTCTGACCTTCAGACAACGTGGGCCAAGCTCACATCTTTGAATCTCCACAACTATTTATCTCTCAAAGCTCAGTTACTGGGGGTTGAGAAACCAATAACTCCAACCCACAAGCATCAGAGCTTAAGCTCTGTGTGAGGTCACGGGGACCCCAAAACAAGGAACAGGTGGCCCCTGCTTACGGTCTAAGCCAGAGAAACAGACTTAGTTACAATGCTCCCAAAAAACAGCAGTGTATTCCCCTAACCCAGAGTCCGCAGAAATGCAGGTGTGTGCTCAGTGGGAAAGACAGACAGAAACCCATCAGCTGCCCAGACTCATGCACCAACTTCCCCTCACTTCACAGGCTCCTGCCCTGGGGGATACACCCCTATTTTATGATTTCATGTGCTGATACTAAAGCCTATCTATAACTGTACAAATCTATGCTTATCATTATTATACAGGAAGATAATAATTGGTTTCCTGCATAATCCAATCTGGTTTATTTTATGCACTCAGTGTGCACCCTGCTCAAGAAGAAAGTACTAATTATCTCAAGGGAGTGAGGACGGACTGACTCTGAGAAGATCATGAGCTTTGCCAGATCACAAAGGCCCACAGCACAGGGATGAAGAGATTAACAACTCCCAGCTTACCTGGAAAACTAGGCAGGAGATACAGAATCAACTCTAACTAGTTTCAGTATAACAGTGTCTGTTAAGTCTCTTCATTGAAAAGTCAGGGTGGCTGGTTCCAGGGGTACCACAAAGCCCCAAGGGCCCACCTTACTGTACTCTTGGATGCGGTGGCTGCTGTTTCGCTTTTTGTTTTCGAAACAGTTCCATGTAACCCAGACTGGCCTCAAACAGAGAATGACAGTGAACCTCTGATCCTCCTGCCTCTGCCTCCTGAGTGATGGTGGGCACCACTGTGCCTGGCTTATAGGATGCTAGAAGTTGAACCTTGTGCATGCTAGGCAAGCACTCTACCAGCTAAGCCACATCCCAGTCCCCTAGGTGTTGCTCTCCTTCAACAAGGCAGAAGCTACATCCATGGTCAGCTTCTCTCTAAGACATATGAAAGCTACCAGCTGTCCAGATGCCCACATTATAAGTGAAAAGGGCACTTCACGCACACACACACACACACACACACACACACACACACACACACCAGGACCATGGGAATATATTAACTCAGAGAAGAGCTCTGTCTCCAGAGGACGATGGTATTGTGGTTGGTTCAGCCTTGGTCATTTGCTGTGATAGGGCCCAGATAAGGCACACTCCTTCCCAGACATGTTTGTGTCCTCCAAAAGAACCTGTCCAGGGCACACAGCAGGATGGTGGACACCTGACCTAGAAACCCAGAAATAGCTAGGATGGAATGAGACAAGATGTCAGGCGGTGACCAGGACCCCTCTAGCCTAGCACAGATGGGCATTCAAGAAAGAGATGACCCAGGGACCACAGCACCAGCAGCAGCACAATTCTCTCCTTCGCTGAGTCCCCAGGGTCTCACTGGATCCTCTCCAGAGCCCAGTGAGAATGGTTGAATGCCTTCTGTGTGCTGTCAAGTAAACTGAGCCACATGATGCTTAAGTATCATAGCCACCAAACACATGGGGTTTGGTGGGTGTGATATTTAAGTATCTCCAAGGTTCTCACAGCTTGATTTGAAACAAAAAACAAGTCTTGTTGAAGGAGCTGCGGGTTGCATTCCTGCCGCCCTGCTCCCAGCTGCCTGGCTAGCTTATGCTCCAAAATAACAACACACAAACTGTATTCATTTAAACACTGCCTGGCCCATTTCTATTAATGTGTGTAGCACCGAGGTGCGTTTACCGGGAAGATTCTAGCCTATGTCCATCCTGGGTCAGAGCTTCATCGTGTCTGCCCCAGAGAGGAGAGCTATCGAGTCTGAGCTCATTTCCTCTTCCTCCCAGCATTCTGTTCTGTTTACTCTACCCACCTAAAGGTTGGCCTATCAAATGGGCCAAGGCAGTTTCTTTATTAGCCAATGACCTTCCTCCATCAAAGTCTGTGCACATGTATGTTTCTGCATGTGTGTGTTAAATATGCATTTGTGTACATGTATGTGCCTTTCATATATGTATGAGTGTATATGCAAGTGTGTGTCCATTTATGAAAGGGTGGCAGCAGCAGGTTAGAGGAAGCTCCCAGATGTAACAGGAGGGCTAATTCATATTAGCAGAAGCACACAAAGGTCTCCTGTTCTCTCTATCCAGCCATCAGCCCCCTCCCCTTCCTGCAAGAGGCCCAAGTACCTTTTCACTAACCTGATTCTTTCTCTCAAGCAGGCGTGCCCCCCAAGGAGATCCGTGAGTATCTACCCAGCCCTGTAAGTACCCCCATCAGTCCTCAGGCAGGATGTCCCAAGGCCTCTATTTCCAGTGCTGCAGGCCCCACAGAAATGCAGGTGTCCAGAGTCTGTCTTCCTAACCCACTCCTCTGTGACAATGGCCTCTCTCAGCTACTCAGACCAGCAGGAACATGGCTTAGCTCTTTCCCTTCTGCAATTCCTTCTGGGTTGTCTAGACCACAGGACACTCTGCAGGATACCCTGCTTCCTCTCTAAAACCTCATTGTGAGCCAAAATTGAAAGAGATCTTCAGCAAGGATGCGGGTTTCCAAGGAACAAAGAAGGTGGAAGGGGAAGCATGGCTGCCACTGATGCTAAGATTGAGCCAGGTGATGCATTCTGTCCTCATAGGCATCTCATCTAAAGCTAACATACTCCCATGTAGGTTCCATTAGGTAGGAAGACAGGCTCAGAGAAGTGAAATCTCCTGGCTAAGGCCAAATAGTTGTAGTGATAAGTAGGAGAGTCAAACACCCCCACCCTGCCAGCCCATAGATCATCTCCCCAACAGCTTTTTCACATAAGACCTCTCTGCAAAACCCCCTAACCCAACATGGTAACTCCAAAGAGAGCTGAGCTTCAGGGTTAGGATTTTATTGGCTAAGATGGCACAGGAACCCAATGCACACAGCATTGCCGAGAGCCAACTACAGAATAAACCATTTTATCCTTGATCTTAGCCATCTGAAGCCTACTCAGTCCAATTCTAAACCACTCAAAGAGTTATGACATCTTGAAGATATCATCTGCTGGGATAAATAGAAAACTCAAACATGTATGCTACATTCTGCCCTTTCTGATCCCATGGCAGACATCACTAGTCAATCCCCACATCCTCATTCGCCAAGCCCATAGCTATCCTCAAGAGTTTTATCCTTAAGCCTTTCACAGTAAGTTCAAACTGTCATTTAAGAGAAGGCCTGATGATTGGGCTGGAGAGGTGGCTCAGCGGTTAAGAGCATTGCCTGCCCTTCCAAAGGTTCTGAGTTCAATTCCCAGCTACCACATGGTGGCTCACAACCATCTGTAATGAGGTCTGGTGCCCTCTTCTGGCCTGCAGGCATACATGTAGAATATTGTATACATAATAAATAAATAAATATTTAAAAAAAGAGAGAGAGAGAAGGCCTGATGGAGGCTGGAAAGATGACTCAGAGGTTAAGAAAACTGGCTGCTCTTCCAGAGGTCCTGAGTTCACTTCCCAGCAACCACATGGTGGCTTACAACCACCTTGTGAGATCTGGTGCCCTCTTCTGGCATGTAGGCCACTGTAGAACATGTATACATAATAAACAAATAAATCTGAGAGAGAGAGAGAGAGAGAGAGAGAGAGAGAGAGAGAGAGAGGAGAGCTTGCTAGTCAGTTCAGATTGGAACCAACTTCCTGACTTGATAAATCAGGAAAGATAATTGGAGAAGCTCCTAGCAAAACCACAAAGCAGATTGGCAGAAGAAAATTCATATCACCCCAATGTACATACATGCATGTGCATGTGCGCGCACGTGCACACACACAGTGCTCAAGACAGTACACCAACTTCAGGCCCAGAGCAATGGCACCAGGGTTCAGAACAGTTATTGAGACAGCCCCTTCCATCAGATCCCAGAAAGCAGATCTTGGCTCCCCTGAGATCTCCCCAAGGGCAGCACTTGTCTTCACGCAGCAGCCTGGTAGTGGAGGCTGATGGACAGGAAATCATTCCCAGAAAAGCCTGCCTAAGCTGTGCTCTTGACATGGAACTTGTTGGACTTAGCTACAGTTGAGCAAACAAGCCCTGAGAACTCCAGCTGCGGTCCCTGGGGCCTAGACTCTTCCCCGCCAGTGAGGGCCAGGGAGACTCACAGCTTGCTGTCTTTCTGTCTGGATCATCCTTCCAAACCAAGAGGCTCCATGTTCAGCTTGTGAAGAAGGGCCAAAGCCCAGGCATAGAATCTGCTGGGGTGATCCAGAACGGCACGTGCCAGGCTCTCAAAAGCTCTGCAGAAGCAACCTTGCTTAGGAAGCTCTCAGATTAATCCTGGAGTGGCCAGAACCTCAGCCAGAGTCCTGAATATTTTGATGCTGTTGATGGTGGCCCCACAGTGTCTGGAAAAGAACAAAACCCCAAGGCCCAGTCTCCTCCCCAGATATAAGAATTCTGTGTTACCTTCCCAGGGGTCCCGAACACCAAGTGTGGGCTCAGCAAGCCCTGCCTAGACAACTTCTTCGCATTTAAACTCAGCACTGGGGCTGCCAACGTCGTGGGCCCCTCCATGTGCTTTGAAAATGAAATGTGAGTACCCAGGGTGGCTGTACTGCTTTGCCTCTCTTTCTCTCCCTCCCTCCCATCCTCCCTCCCTACCTCCCTCCCTCCCTCTCTCCCTCCCTCCCTTTCTCTCTCTCATCCATTTGAAAAGTCAAGCATCAGAGCAGGCCTTTAAGGAACCGCCCATGCCTTTCCCAGGTTACCTTTGACTGGAGGTGCATGAACAAATAACCCTCAGCCAAAGAGCTCCCAGCTCAGCCCACCCCTTGCTAAGCTGCCCCCATCCCTTCCCTGCACAAGGGGTTGAGCTGCTGTTGTCCCTGCTGGGAAAAAAAAAAAGTGAGGCTCAGACAGGGACAACTGCCAAGCGGAAGGCATGTCTGTCCAACAGACAAGTTGCTGGGCTTCTGGGGTAAGGGATGCCCTGTGGATGTTATCTATGTACCCATTCCCAAACTCAACAGTTAAGTTTATCCTGCCGTGGAGAACAGATGGGTCTTTCCAACATGATGCTGAATCTACACAATCAGCACTGGTCTGTGTAGTTGAAGCCAGAGTTCTGAGCTTCAGGATGAGCGGGATCCAGCAGCTCAGACTACACATCAAGCTTGCTCTCACGCCGTCCTTGGCTCTGTTTTCTCCTGCTGGCTGTTTTTTTTCTTCCACTGAAAATGGGACTTCTCTGTGGATGAGGGAGGCCACCACACATTCTGACAAATTAACACCAACCTAGCACCTCACGAGGGCCAGAGCAGAGTATCCCCAGACTGGGTCTCCTCCTTGCCTTGGGAGTGGAAAAGTACTGCCATCCTCAAGAGGGAGAGAACAGACCCTGAGCTGGTGGGAACCCTGCTGGGCTCCACAGGGGAACCAGCCATTCTAGGATGGATGAACTTCTCCAGTTTCTGCTTCTTACATCCTGGGGTGGGGGAATACCCTACCCTAGCATCTCAAAGTCCCAGGTAGGGGCTCAGCCTCTTTTCTGTGCAGACTAGCCCAAAGGTGTGTTGGACCAAAGGGCTTCACCACGAAGAACACAGCCCACACCACAGGCTTCCGGGATAAATCCTACAGCCCAAGCTGTGTTTCCTAGTGTGCAGGGAGTCGTGCTCGGCCCCGCCAGCCAATTCCCAAATCACAACACAGGGACTTCTCATCAAATATGAGAGCTTGGCCAGTAGCTTAGGCTTGTTTCTAACTAGCTCTCATAACGTAAATTAGCCCGTTTCTTTTCATCTATGTTATTTTACGTGGCTCGGTAACCTTTACACCGTAAAGTTCATGTTACCTGCTCCGTGTCCATGGAATCTCCTGGAGACTCCACCCTTCTTCTTCCCAGCATTTTCTCTGCCCCAAAAGTCCTGCCTAACTATTGACTGTTGAACTTTTTATTAAGCCAATCACAGTGACTTATCTTTACACAGTATAATCAAATATCTCACAACACTTGGGCCCCAGGAGTAAGCCTCTCAAGGTCCCCTTCACAAAAGCAGAACATTCCTTCTGCTCCTGGGAATGCTAGCCTATTTTATTTCCCTTCTTCATCTGCAGTATCATGAGTCCAGTGAGAAACAACGTGGGCAGAGGACTGAACATTGCGCTGGTGAACGGTGAGTGGTCGCAGGTGTCATCACAGAGGGTTCCAGAGTAGGCGATGGTCAGTTGCAGCAAAAAAAAAAAAAAAAAAACCAGCAAGGAGAAAAGGAAACACCCCTTCCAGGCAGCAGAGTGGAGAAGAGGGAAGGAAGGACCCAGGCTGGGACTTCCTGTCTGGCCTCTCACAAAGCCAACAGGATAAAAAAAAAATAATCATCCCTGACAATAAAAAGTAATGTGTTGAGCATGTCCTTTGTACAGCTTGAACCCAGATCTAGCCGACTCCAGCAACTCTTCCCTACACTGCAGGGTCTCTCGGGTTGTGTGTAGACACCTCAGGTTCCTCGTGAATACTAATTAGCAAGAGAAGCAAAGCCCAGTTCAACGTGGCTGGCACCTTACCTCTTACTGCTCAGAGCTTCCTCTGAGAAACAGTTCGCGCTATGCTGCTCACCTCTACCCGGATTCTAGAAAAACCCACAAATGAGCACGCTCTCAGAGACGCAGAACCCCTTCCAAAGCCCCCGGGTTACTCCAGGTGGTTCTGAGACTGAGAGGGCTTGCCAGGTGAGCCTGCTCCCATCTACAGGGCGACGTGCCCCTAGCGCTGCCATGCCCTCTGCAATGCTACCATCTAGTGGTGAAGGCTGAGAGCTGCGTCTTTCCTTCAGATCACCGTTTCTGCCCCCAAAACCACAAAAGCAACGCAGACTCTGGAAATCTGATGACCTTTTATCATGGGAAATTTGATGCCTCCGAAAGGAGAATTTGGCTTGCAGATTTCCCACTTGTGTGGGAGCAGTTATAACCATGTCCTTAGTACAGTTTCCCAGAAAATGTATCTAGTACACTTTCTCTTGTCGATGTATTTGTTCCATTTCAAACCAACAGCCCATTGAATTTGTGCAGAAATTAAGGACAAAATGCTGAATCATGTGTGAGCAGCTGTCATGGTGGAACACAGATTCTGGGTGGTTATGTTCTGTTGTACACTGGATGTTCAGCTCGTGCGATCTACCTCTCAAATAAAGCCCAGCCCAGACAGTAGGAGGCCCCCACTGTGCCCCTAATGACCTTCCCAAGACCTAGTTACATTCAGCTCTCATTCTGGTTTTAGGGTTTACACTACCCATGGGCCAGATTCAGCGAAGTGACGAGCAGGGTGACTCGCGTTATAGGAAGTACTGTCTCTCTCTTTTCCCTAGGATCCACAGGACAGGTGACGAAAAAGGGCAGCTTTGACATGTACTCTGGAGGTAGGCACCTCTGTTGGCACTGATGTCGTGGGGGTAACCCTTGCTCTAGAAGGGAACGTGGGGACACTAGGATGGGAAAGTTGGGGGGTGGGGGTTGTTCTGTTTTAGACACCTTCCTGGGGTCTGAGTTAGACTCAGGCACAGATCCTTGGAAGAGAGTATGATGATTTATTTAGAATCTGGTTTCAAGAAATGCCCATGGTGGGTAAAGGAGTAAGACCGGAGAAATGTGAAGCCAATCAGGGGAATTGGAGAGCTGTTGCACCACCATCTTGGACATAACTCAAGGGGTGTGCTTGAAGTACTGGTTTCTCCTCACTTCCTAACAATTCTGACAAGCGGGCTCTTGAGGCCAGGCAGAGTTCTTGGTTTAAAAAAAAAAAAGTCATTGTTGTCATTGGTACCAGACAAGTGTGCCCCCAGTGTTGTGCTAAGGATGAGGGCATATGGCCCTAGCACCTACTCAAGCCCTGCTAGGGAGAGCACCTGAGAAAAGTTGAAGCTGCAGAGCTCTCTAGTAGACCCACATAGAGGGCACAACCTCCTAAGGTCCAGATAGGACCTCTGAGAGGTGCCCTCTTCTCCAGCTCTCTGCAGAAGTTGTTTCTCCACATAGACATGTTTTGGTTTGTTTTTTTGAAACCTCTGCATGTGGCTGGCTCTGAGGACATCACTGTCCCCTTGCTTTAGTACAACAAGCAGAGCCCCTCACGATGGGCTGGAATCCAGGGATCTGAGTCCCAGGAACAGCTTGGCTGGCGGCTTGATGCTCTGTAGACACAGTCTTTAAATTCTTAACCATTTTTGAATCAGTAGCCCTGCATTTTTATTTGGCACTGTACCCCACAAATTATGTAGCCAGTTCTGCTAACAATTTATAATTCCATTTAAGGGCATGTATTGTATGTCCCAGATTGTCACACGTAAATTTCACAGTGATGCCATCAGCAGGGCCATTGGCCATTCTTGTCTCAGACCACAGAGAGCTGTTTGGAAACAGAGTTTCATGTAGCCCAGGCTGGCTTCAAACTCATGATGTAACCAAGGATGAGAAACAGCCTAGACTGTCTGTGGTAATTTAGAAGATGCCATGAGGCCTTGGGCAGTAGAGATCTACGAAGTTCTGATCCTCCTGCCTCTCCCTCCCAAGTGCAGGGACCACAGGTGTGTACCATCACACTAGGTCTATATGGTGCTTGGGGCCAAACTCAGTTTGCCAGACATGCCAGGCAACGGAGCTGTGCATCCTAGTCCCACGTCCAGGGGACATTACAATGCTACTGTCACCACTCCAGGTCACACAAATGAAGTCCCTGATGTCCTCATATTTTCCTGCCCTCAGATAAAGCTACAGGAAGCTCCAGCCCCTCTCATCACATGGCCCCCATCTGACTTCCGAACTCCCCATCAGCCTGGCCCAGAACCGCCCTGAGTCCTTAGGGTAGAAGAGAAAAAGGATCCAGCTTCATTTCTCCTAAAGACCAGTACTTTTCTTTTCTTCTTCTCCCAGAACCCAAACTCCTGATAGAGTTCCTTGAAAAAATTCCAGATAGCACGCTGGTGCTGGTAGCCTCCTATGATGACCCAGGCACCAAGTAAGTGGGAAACATCACTTGTTAGGCCATGTGGCGATGCAAACCAAATACTTTACACCTGCACACACTTTCTCCCTCTCCTGAAAGCCCCACCCTCCAGCTAATTTATCCCGAGGAAAGAATCAGAGAAGTCTGGGAAATGAAGTCCAGGTATATGCTGTGACCTTCATCACAATAATGGCAAAGTCTCCCCATCCAGTAGCACTGTCTGGTTGCAGAAATTATAGCATCGTGTTATATATCATATGTGCATATAAGAAGATGCGCTGCATTGCAAATGATGGTGGAAAAAAAAATATTAAGGACTTGCAAGGATGCTCGCTATCTTAGTGTCCTATTGCTGTGAAGAGACGCCGTGACCAAAGCCACTTTTATAATAGAAAACATCTGATTGGGGCTGGCTTGCAGTTTCAGAGATTATGTCCATTATCATCGTGGCAGGGAGCGTGGCAGCAGACAGGCAGGCAGGCAGGGTACTGCATCCCAATCTCCAGGGAGAGAGGAGGGAGAGAGAATGAGACTGAGCCTGGCATGGGCTTTTGAAACCTCACAGCCCATCCCCAGTGACCCACTTTCTCCAGCAAGGCCACACTTCCTAATCTGCATAATCCAGGCTTTCAAGTACATGAGTCTACCAGAGACATTCTTATTCAAACCATGACACGCAGCCTCTAGGGCGGAAGGAGTAAAATAAATACATGAGCTCCTTAGACTGGTGAGGTGGCTCGCTGGGTAAAGAGCTTGCTGAGTAAGGCTGAGTTCAAATTCCCAGAACCGACATCAGGGATGGGTAGACATATCTATAGATATCTATACATATCTATAGATAGTAGCCAGCCTGTAATTCTAGCCTCTGAAAGCCAAAACAAAGGATTGTCAGAGCAAGTAGGCAAGCCAAGCTAGTCATATCAGTGAGCTCTGTGTTTGACTGAGAAACCCTGACTCAAAGGAATAAATCAGATGAGTGATGAGAACTATTCTCGACATCAGCCTTGGGCCACCACACATACATATGTCTATGCACATACACATATCTGCCCACACACATCAATCATACATGTACATGCATGTACAAACATAGGAGAAAAAGAAAAATCCACTTGTGCTACATAGCTTGTTATGACTAACTGAACAAATCATATAGTGAATACCATAGCCAGCTTGGCTTGTGTGAACACACACCTGGGGTTCACACACTGACTCCCCTATTTGCACATCTGTGCAAACATGCTCCTGATGTTCACACACTAGATCCCCTAAGAGCACATCTGTGTAAACACACCCCTGGTGTTCACACACTGGATCACCTAATAGCACATCTGTGTGAAAACCTAACCGCACAAATCTTAGAACGGATCCCATTGTTAAACAACCTGTGGCCATGTTAAAATGTTTATGATTTCCACAAGGGGGAGGGGTAAGCCCCATCTTTCACTTAACTCTTCATGATGTCCCATGTTTCCCATATGAACATATGCAGTACCTGCAAACAGGGTAGTACTGTCCAAACCGCTGTCCAGCCCCACCAAAAGCTCTCTTAGAAAGTCTCAGCCCCCAGCCCAATCCACTGAACTTTGAGAGCCTCGAAAAGCAGGTGCTATGTGTCCAGGTGGACAGTGGGCTCCCCCATTGGGAGCCTCACCCTGTTCCCATCCCCATCAATGTCCTTCAGCCTCACCCCAAACGTTCTCTCTGGTCCTCGGCAGAATGAACGACAAAATCAGGACGCTCTTCTCCAACCTGGGGAGTTCCTACGCAAATCAGCTGGGCTTCCGGGACAGCTGGGTCTTCTTAGGTGCCAAAGACCTCAAGAATAAAAGCCCATATGAGCAGGTGGGTTCCTAGCTGCCTCCCTGTCTGAGTAAGGGCCGGGTGGACAAGGTGCCGCAGCGGCTGAAAGGACAGTCAGTGCCATAGGCTACACTGTTGGTCAGAAACTACACCCAGAAGCAGAAGGGAGGACCATCCCACGGAGGCCAGGGAGCAGAGAGCAAGTGCCTGAGCTAGTGACTTGCTTCTTTTTCCCTTTAGTCAGGCCCCCAACGTACATTAATCCTCCCTGGAGACACTCACCCCGATATATCCAGAGGAATATTTTATGAACCTCCTAGCCACTTCTCAGTCTAGCTAATGGGCAATCAAATTAACCATCACCCACATTTAGACATCAGGCCTACTTCAAGACAGCCTACTGGAGGAGAAGAAAAAGAATATCCATGGGTGAGAATGCAGGCCCCAGACTGGGCTCTAGCACACACAGGGAAGTCAGGACACCAGGCAGAGCTACGCTGCACTAGCCAGGCAGATATTTTTTCTTCCTCCTTGTTAAGAAGGGTCCGGATTCATCAAAGGCAGATGGCCATACAGCAAGGACCCGAAGATATCCTATGTTCCCATACTGGTAACACGTTAAAGAAATCACATGAAGAGTTCCCCAACTGGGAGAGACACACACACAGTAACAGTTCCTCTCCGTGCCTCAGTTTCCCACACAGTGGGATGGAACCATAACAGTATGTGCTTCCCAGGGCTGTTGTGTTGATTAAATACATAAGGCAGCTTGGGATAGCACCAGGCATGCCACAGATGATCAATAATTCTTAGGATTCTTCCTTTCCATGCTTTTATCATTGTGATTTGGGGCTTTAAGGGAGAAGGGTGAGAGCTCTCCAAGCTCTCCCCGTCTTTGGTGCCCCCGTCTGGCATAGTAGGCTCCAATCCCGTTTCTGGGACCTCAAGCAAGTTGTGGTTCTTCTCTGAGCTTCTTGCCCCATCTGGAAAATGAGGCTGTGGCAAAGGTCAGAGAGCCCTCCAAGTGCTGAGGGTCAGTGTAAATGCCGTTGCATGAGTCCTAGACAGCCTTGCCCGCTGTCTGAAACATCTCTCTTCTCTCCCTAGTTCTTAAAAAACAACCCAGAAACAAACAAATATGAAGGTTGGCCGGAGTTACTAGAGCTGGAGGGCTGTGTGCCACGGAAGGTGTTTTAGAGTGGCCATGGCCGGAAAGACATGCCCAACTGAACTTGAGAGCCGTGCTCAAGTTTGCTGGATCTGTGCTGATGGGAGCTGACTAGGAGGAAGAAGGGAGAAGCCATATGAGATGCGCTGACTATCCCACACACAATGTGACTCACTTCTCTGAGGAAACAACAGCTTCCCACGCCCCACAGTGACCAGCCTGGGGATGGGCAGCCACACGGGGCCTGCAGAACCAGCTGTGGTGGACACAAGTGAGACCTTCCAAGGCTGCTCCTGGTTGTCTCCAGAAGGACTGGCTGCCTACACTTAAGCAGGATTAAATTCTATTTTTTGCTGGTTTTGAACCTTGCAACCTCTCCGATTTGCTGTGGTTCTCCCTGGGATTGTACTGGTCTAGTCTCAGGTAGCATGTGTTCTGGGTCTGGACAGGTAGGGGAAGCTCATCTGGCAGCCAGGACGGAGCCTGGGTTCTCAAGATGGACAGGAGCAGGGAAGCCTAGGGGACATCATTCTTGACATACTCTTTTAAGACAAGTCAGAGGTAACCCAGAACTGGAGAAAAAGAGGAAGGGAGTGGATCTAAGGTAGGGGAAGTATCTACAGCACTGAACAGGTGTTCAACATCTGCCTGGCTCTGGATTCCCCAGAGGTAGACTGGGAAACGAGCATTTGAGGGCAGGCATTGTGTCTGGGGAAAGAGACAGTCAATAACGGGTGTTTTAAGGGGACCATCCGCACAGCGGGGACTCCCTCCCACACCCTGGATTAGGCACAAATCACACCCAAACACCTATTTTCACAGATCCTTTATTAAGCGGCGAGAAAAGTCAACGTGGCTGCTTTCTGACTCAGGCAGAAAACAGCAGCAAATGACCTTGCAGGTGTAATTTTTAAGAGGAGAAAAGGAAAAAATCCCCCTATGTTGGGATGGGCTAGAATGTGGTGGTAAAGGAGATAGGGGATGAGGGAAAGGGGGAAGGAACAAGGGAGAGGGAGCAGAGGTCTTTGTCCTGGAGAGACGAAGGACTGCCTCTGCACAGAGAGGAGACAAAGTTGGCACGTAGGCAAATGGAAGTTTATAAAGGTAAATGGGGAAACCCAGTGTTAAGATGAACATCTTAATTAGGTGAGCCGAAGGGGACTTTTGATTGGTGGACTTTGGTAGTCAGCCTCAGGAGGAGAAAGTAGACAAATAAGGGACTAGACCTTGGTGGTTAGCTTTGCGAGTGTAACCCAACCGTTTTCAGCAAGGCAGAGGGAAGGGGGGAGAAGGGCAAGACCTACGGGAGCCACATGCTCAAGTGGGCTCGTGTCCCTCCAGTGTTGCCAGCCCAGCTACTGGAGACTAGAGTGAGATCCCACTGGAAACTTTGGAACTTGTAACGACTACCTAAATTGTTCCAGTTTAATAAAAACTCGAGAGTCAGAAATTGAGATAAAGACCTGATAAATCCAAGGACAGCAAACAGTTGATTGGCTGACTTCCATGTTTTTCCCAAACCATCAGCTCCAGAAATTCCCTTTCTCTCTTCCTGTCCTCTCTAGCAGACCTCCTCAGTCTTCCAAGAACTCTATGGCTAATCCCGGTTAGCCAATCATTGACTCCGTCCTTTGTTTCAAGGTGACTTTATGAGCACAGTAGAATGTCTATACAAACAATTCTTCCACAACAGGGACTCTGTCTGACACACACACCTGAGGAATGGCAGTCCTTCCGCTCTGGAGAAGAAGGCTGTTTATATACCAAGAGCAGCCAACTATTTGGCAAGGCAAGGCTGTTGGTGTCATCCCCCGGGAGGGGGGGCACTTATCCACCCCATGTAGGGATGAAAGGCTATCCATGTCTTCACAGTGAGTCAATGGCCAAAAGATGCCAATGCCAGCTGCCGGTAGACCAGTAGGTGCAATGAGAGGAGAAAGAATCATAGCAGATGCCAGGGTCTTGGAGAAGGGTCCAATCCCAAACTCTAGACCAAATCCTAGTAGGGGCTCATAGGAGTGTGTACTGACATTAAGCTTTATTAGGGGAAAATCCCCAGTAGTCTCAAGCCCCAAACACAGAGAGGGCTTTCAGGTATGTCAAGGGCCTGGTGGAGAGAAGATAGAGTTTGGGGACTCTGGACCAGGGCCTTTTTTTGGTATGATACACAGGCTTTGAACAAGCTGAGCTGAGGAAACTAGAAGATGCCCACTCAGCCAGCCCGTTAGCCCCTCCGAGCCAGACTCACCCAGAATGTCTTAGGAACAAAGAGGGCCTCGTAGAAACACCTGTGTCCACATGGACACAATGCTTCAGAAGCCTACCGTGGGAATTCACATTGGCACACAGTTTTCACAAACACCTTTGGATTCCTGAAAATGTTTACTTACAATGAGCTAAGATACCTTAGAGGATTTAAAAGGAGCCAATAAAGACTTCCAAAGTGAGTTCTCAGCCAGAGACAGGAGGACTAGGCAGACAGCTCTTGGTGGTGGTCGCTATTTTAAGAGGACCTAGGTGGCCACCTGGGTGTGTAGACAAGGCCGAGAGCATGTGACCAGCTCAGAACCGAGGAAGGAGCCTCCCACAGATGAAGGGGCTTGAAGATGCAGCAGAGGAGGGGGAACCGCAATACCGCACCCAGGTCCCCGGCCCTATGATGGTTTCTTATGGTATACTATTTTTCTCATCGCTGTGACAAAGTATATTCTGGAAACAGCAGGAAATTGATACTCACAGTCTGGGCATGGGCATAGTGGCAGGAGCATGAAGCAGCTGGTCACAGGACAACAGCAGTCTGGAAGAGACCGATGAATGCTTGTTCTCAGCTTGCTCAGTTTTATTCAGTCTGGGACCCCCTGTCTCAAGGAACAGTGCTGCCCATTTTGAGGGTGGGTCTCCCTATTTCAACTAGCTCAGGGTGTCCCTCACAGACATTCCAGAGGGCTGTCTCCTAGATGAGTCTAGACCCTGCCAAATTGACAAGAAGCACTGTCACAAAAGGTCAGCTTGACCTGTTCTTTAGAGAAATGCCTTCCCAGAGGCCTGGGTTTCCCTCACCCCTAAGGGCCATCAGCTGGTCACTAACAGAAAGCCGGCTCATTGTCTTAACCTGAGCCCATGAGCTTCATCAGAAGCTGGCGCTTAGCCTGAAGTATCCTGTCCTTCCTCTCCCTTAGCAGGGTTCCCTAGATGCCAGGCCCTAATAAGTCATCTACAGGAGACTTTGACAGAAGTGCCCGAGGTCCCTGAGTGCGCCTAGCTAGATGAGACTCCGTCTGCATCTGGGCTACGAGATGAGAGCACCATTCTGTGACCAGCTGTAGTGTCCGGGTCCGTTCTCTAAGAGTGAGGAGCTGTAGGCCAGGAGCCTCGCCTGAGGCTGCCGGGTCCATTCTCTAAGAGTGAGGAGCTGTAGGCCAGGAGCCTCGCCCGAGGCTGCCGGGTCCATTCTCTAAGAGTGAGGAGCTGTAGGCCAGGAGCCTCGCCTGAGGCTGCCGGGTCCATTCTCTAAGAGTGAGGAGCTGTAGGCCAGGAGCCTCGCCCGAGGCTGCCACAGGGCTTCTGCTATGGAACAGTTCCCATGCTGTCCCATGCTGGGAGGGCCAGGCAGATGACATGCTCAAGGCCCACTGATCTCCCCCTCCTTGTCAAGGTACAATGCCCCACTGACATATCCTCAGAGGCAGTGTGGAAAATGAACTCGCGTGTCCAGCACCTGACTCTCTGAAGCCTCCAAGGAGACTGACACTGGAGGCAGCCACACAGCCTGGCGGGGGTGAGTGTCACAAATATGACCAACACTGTGAGAGTCAGCCTTCTTTTCAGGGTGTGGCAGCCATGGCAAGGATGACCGGTTCAGCTCAGGATGGAGGCTGAAAGAATTTGAGTCTAAGAATGTGACTGCAGAGTATTGGGTCCACATCCCCCTGACTCAGTTTCCTCACTCCTCAGTCATTAACCATCTGCTGGGCTTCTGGAAGCAGGACCCACGGAGCAGGGTCACGTACCCATCAAAAGGCAATATGACGTCTCCAGGGTTATGAATGAGAAGGACCCGAGACACCTTCTCCTTTCTTGGGGCGGGGAAAGCATTGAAAGAAGGTAGCTTCTACGGGAGCCTCTCCATCAGACAGCAGATGGGACAGAGGTGTGTGGCTGGATGGGCAGACTGTAAACAAGGCTGGAGGTCTGGGAGCGGGGAAGAGACTGAATGGGTGGGCTGAGCACCAAACAGTTTTCTGTGCCAGGCAGAGAGCTTGGATCTGGGACAGCGGTGACATGTATGTTTAAACTGGACATGGAATGGCTACTGTTTTATCTTTTGATTCCTCAGTGTTATGTAGAGAAGCCAAGAATAGGTTTCGGTGTCATCAAGGAACAGAAGATGACAGGCTAATCTGGGATGGGATCTTGCAGAAGGTAAAATAAATGAGACTTGAGGCTGACTCGCTCATTGCTGTAGACAAGTGTCAAGTATCTCTTCACACTAATGGCGGCCTCTGGATTTGAGGTTTGCACATGCTCCCTGGCTCCCTGCCAAGGCCTGCTGCATGCCTCTAGAGTCCTGTGCATCACCGTGTTCTCTTCAGGGGCTGAAATTCTGATTCTCCCCAGCAGATGGCAGCATAGGAATGAAAGGAAGGGCAAGGTTGGCCCCTCAGCGCTAGGGAAAGAGGTTGAACTGGCTGTCTGAGTCTCACCAAAAGACAGAGAAGTTACTGGCCACCCTTACTGATAACATGATAACAGCAACACCTCACCACTGGAGAGGATCGAGCCTCACTTCATCACCTACCTCACTTCAATCTCAGGACAACATCATGGAATAGGAACCACAGTACTGTGCACACACAAGAAGGGTCAGAAAGGTCAAGTGACCTGCCCAGACCCACCGAGGTGAAGTACCTCAGAATAAGGACTGGAATCTCAGCCAGCCTCTGTTGTCATTGGAAACCCACCTTTCAGATACCATTACCCTAAAGCCACTCTGAGGTAACTGGTTCTCTCTTCCTTCCCTCTGGTCTCCCCATTGTGCAACCCCTCTGAGGACATTTGAAAATTGAACAGGACCTCAGAGTCAGCATCCCAGGTCTCTGCTATCATGGCTTTGGGAGGAATGGAGACCAGTTGATTGCAGGGTTTGGAGTATCTTTTTGCAAAGCTTGCTTTCTCTGGGATCCTGGATTCCCGCAATTGGCTGTTGGAAAGAAGAAGAAATTTATTCCCATTTTGTGGATGAAGAGCAAGAGCTAGGGAGTGTGGAGCCACCCAGTGAAAAAGTACAGAGAAGGACCAGAAACACCCCACCCTTGGCCCTCTGCTTCCCTGGGACCACTCCCTTACCTCCTGCTCCTGTGCAGT